TGATTGCGTAATATTGTGGTCTAAACTAGGATGCCTATCTTCCATTTTCTTTTTCTTTTTTTTTTGGGTGCTAGGCCTTGAAGCATTCTGTTCTTCTTGAACATTGGTTGCATCTTCAAGGCTTGACTGCATATTTTGGTGTTTCCTGGGGCTCTATAAGTTGTGCGCCACGGCTTAAATGGAACAGTTCCGCCAGATTGGGGAGGTTGTGGGAGGTTTGAAAGCTCTAATGGTTTTGAAACATGATATTCCAATCAACCAGAGACAATGCTGTTTGCTTTTCGATATGTTTGTGTTGGCTTTTGAAACTATTTCGGATGAAATCAGGCAAAACTTAAGGCTAGATGAGAGGAATGTCAAGTGGAAAGCTCTCGAGTATCCTCTGAAAGAGCTTCATAGGGTATTCAAGGAAGGTGAACAGTACATAAGATTGTGCCTGGATGTCAGGGATTGGTGGGGGAAGGCAATCAGTCTCCATCTCAACAGGGACTGTGTTGAGTTTCACATTCACAACTTGCTTAGCTGCTTTCCCGTTGTCGTTGAGGCTGTTGAAGCTGTTGCAGAATTCTCGGGCGCAGACCTGGAAGATATGCAAAAAAGGAGAGTTGCACTAATGAGAAAATATGAAGCAGATTGCAGTGATCCAAAATTCTTCCAGTGGATGCATGGTAAGCAGTATTTGGTGCCTCGAGAGATATGCAGCCGCTTACAATCTGCTGGGAAAGAAGATAGATGGTTTCTCCTCGAAGCAATAAGAGAAAAGAAAAGTGCAGTTCCATCTACGTTGGCAAAGCATGAACACAGGCTTGGAGACCTGTTGCTGAAAAAATTAAGTGGATCGGAGCCACCAAAACTGAAGCTCCTGCCAACTTCTGTTCTAGTGGGAGCACATGACTTCTACGTGAAGCGGAGGTTAGGATTGGGTGAGGGACACATGAAAGAAATCCAGTGGCTGGGGGAAAGTTTTGCTTTGAGGACCTTCTTTGGAGAGATAGAACCATTACAAGAAGAGATTTCTCTAGTTCTTTCACTCTCCCATCCCAACATTTTGCAGCACCTTTGCGCTTTCTATGACGAGGAGAGGAAAGAGGGCTTTTTAGTGATGGAGCTTATGCACAAGAATCTTAAAAATTACATAAAAGAGAATTGTGGGCAAAGAAAGCGAATTCCTTTCTCTGTTCCAGTTGCGGTTGATATCATGCTTCAGATTGCTAGAGGACTGGAGTATTTGCACTCAAGAAAGATTTATCATGGGGAACTGAACCCATCTAACATCCTTCTAAGAGCTAGACATTCATCCACTGAGAGTTACTTTCAAGCAAAACTCACTGGATTTGGATTGGTCTCTATCAAGAGTTTTGTTCGATCTCAACATTCGAGTGTTGACCCTGTTATATGGTATGCCCCAGAAGTTCTCGCTGAACAAGAGCAGCCAGGAAAAAAGGGCAACGCCAAGTATTCTGAAAAAGCTGATGTCTACAGTTTTGGGATGCTCTTTTTTGAACTTTTGACAGGGAAAGTTCCATTTGAAGACAGCCACCTCCAAGGGGACAAGATGGTTCGAAATATTAGAGCAGGAGAGAGGCCACTTTTCCCATATCCAGCGCCCAAATACCTGGCAAACTTAACCAGAAAATGTTGGCATCCAAATCCACTTATCCGTCCGAGCTTTTCTTCCATATGTAGGATTTTACGCTACATTAAAAAGGACCTCATAATTAATCCTGAACATGGTCAACCTGAATCACCACCTCCACTTGTGGACTACTGTGACATAGAAGCAGCGTACTCAAAGAAATTTCCGGGGGAGGAGATCCCTGATTTGAGCCCGGTAACCGATATTCCCTTCCAGTTGTATGCTTATAGACTTGTTCAGAAAGAAAAGAGTTGCGGAAGCTCTAAAGACAAGAACTGCGATTTGGGAAACGAAGAACTACCTCAAAGGCCAGCATCAATATATGGTGATGAGCATGTGGCCGCAATAGATGATCTATTTTTGGTACCAAGTGATCGAAGGTCAGTTTGTTCAGAAATAATTGAAAGCAAGAACATTCGGGCGGCATATGATGAAAGGTCGGTTATCTCTGAGATTCCACACAAACTATTCTTCTCTGATCAGAGATCAATTGGTTCTGAAAGTCCGGGGAGGAAATCTCTATTAGCAGCTCCAACTGAGCAAAGGCCAAATGTTGCTGATACTCCACAAAGGAAAGTCTCAGTGGCAGTAGCAGTCGATCAAATCTCCTCTCTTTCTCGAACTCCAGAAAGAAAAGTTCCTCCAACAGCAACAATCAATCACAAGACAAAGCATTCTGAGAACCTGGGGAAGGATATGGGGTCAATAGCAGATCAGACGACCGCTGATTCTAAGTCTCAAGATGGAAATTCCAAGTCAAAAACTGCAGCTAAGCTGCATGAACAAAGTAATGGACGTTCCAATGTACCAGAAAAAGAAATCAAATCGAAAACAGCTGCTGACCCTGTTCCAGTTACTTCTGGAGCTTTATCAAGGAAAGTTTCGTCAAGGAAAATAGCTCATCAAAGAAAACTTTCTGAGATTCCAGAAAAGTCTGTCTCAGCTTCCTTATTAAATCCGAAGTCAAATTCTTCCAATAAGAAAAGTGAGCCAACCAGACCTGCCGCCAAGCCCTCTCCTCCCAAGAACTCGGACAAGAAGCATTCCATGAACAAGAAAATGAAAGATGTAAACTCAGAAAAAAATCCAGGTATATTTTTATTCTTCCAGAAAAGGTAACTGTAAACCTGTTATTGAGTTTCGCCGTCAAATGTCCACGTACATTAACATAACAACTGCAGACACGAAAAACCATTCACCCATTCTGTTATGATGTTATGTAGGAAATTCAAAAGATAACTTACCAAGGTCTTCGTCTGCAAGAATATCACAAACGATTGCATCATCATCATCAGCAGCAGCAGCAGCATCACCAACAAGAGGAACAAGGTTTTCATCAACATTTGCGTTGAAAGGGTATATGTCACCACAAGCATCACCACTGCATCCATGTGCTCGTTGCTGCCGGACAAGCAGAGAGGCCATCTTGTCTTCACCAGCAATGAGCCCATGCAGAGCTAGACTAACGCATGTATCGGAGACGGAGATTGCATAATCATCAGTTAAACTTTGCTTGAACAGCTCATTTTCAACTAGAGATTTTTATGCAAAAAGCCAGCTCGAATAGTAGTACATGCTTAAAACAAGCAATTTTGCATTCTCAAAAGCCTCCTCAATGTCTTTAGTTTTTTCTTTTCATTTTTTGACACAAAACCAAGAAACCTATTTCCAATGGAGATCAACTGGCATAGAGTTTAGACTATAGCCGACTAATTAGCGGAACTTTAAGGACCCCTGCTTTCAGGGTTTATGTTACCACTGAGTTGAGACCTCATTGACAATGTATTAGCTATTCCATTGGTTTAACCGTAATTCAATTTCGAAATTCAGAGGCATCAAATGCTGAGTCTACTATAACCATCCCGTGGGTAGGTTCTACAAGTCCCTGTTATCGCCAACGCCATGGATAATTTTATTCAGCCACAGAAAGTTTTGGGATAACGCAGTTTTCCTGCCAAAAGTTTGGCTTCTGTGTTAATTTGGTCCCTAATGTTTTGATCAAATCTTAAAATTTTTAATTTTATGCAATTCAAGAAAAGCCAACGAAACATTGCAGTCATAACTAACAATTAAAATCAAATGGCCTCAGTCAAAATCTTTTATTTTAACATTTTTTGTCCTTAAGATTCGGAGTTTCAATCAATAGAATCCCTTAAATGTCAAATAATCATACTTATGGTTTCAAAAAGAAATACAATCTGAGTTTAATTAAATATATAACTTGTGTGTTCTTAAATCCCTATAGAAATTTTTTAAAAGCACTTCATATGGTATGATACTGTCCTTTAGTAGTCTAAAGAGCAAATCTTTGTTAAATTAGTGACAATTGAATAAATATACACAGATAATTTATAAATAATAATTAGCTGAAAAGGGGGAGAATACTAATCTTAGTACATTGCTCTGTTGTAACTACTAGTACACAAATTTTTGCAATACTTGTGTGTGTAGGTTTCAAATGATTATAGCTAGAAATTGAGATTAAAATAACTAGTGAAGGTAACTATCAATACGAAATGCTTTAGCTATTTTTTTTTAAAAAATTTCCTTTTGTTTCTCTCAGTCTTTCCTTCATATTAAAACCTAATAGTCCAATAATGAAGTATTTAAGTATGTATTTTAATGTCTGAAAATTGATAATTTTATTGAATAATTTAAATAATTCTGCAAAATACCTATTTCCCTTGAAACTTAATTGATAATTCATTGAAGCGCAAAAAGAAAGAAGAAAGAACAAACTATTAGATTATCAACTTAACTCACATATATTACTCATGTTTTTATAGAGATATTGAGTTTAGTAATAAATATGAGTGAAAAATGATAGCACTTGTGATCAATTGATTTTCCATAATGCTAGATAAGAAATGCATTTATTATACCAAATCCAAAACCAGCAATATATGCAAAAGAGTAAAAAGATATGAGAAACTAATGGCATATTACTGAAATAAAGAAAAAAAAAAGAAGGAATAAAAAGATGTTTAATTAGAATTCTTAATAAACTTCCAAAACAATTTAGGTGTAATTAGTAATATATTTTGACCCAAAATCTTTATTTGAAATTTTGGCGACCATAATTATTCAAATTCCAAAACTGTGGGACAAAAAATATAAAATCAAAGCTATTGACTAATGGCAAATTGATTTTGACGGTTAGGATTATCAAATTTCTAGCAATTGTCCAAAATTTGGTTCAAATAAAAAACTATGGGGACTAAATTTGTTTTGATAGCATTAAGGACCAGTTTGGCGCAAGGTCAAAACTTTGGGAACCAAAACTTCATTTCTCAACCAACCTGCATAAAAAGCTCCAAACAGTATCAGTTCTAGCTAACAATCACCGAGTGCACTAACCAGCCAGTGTATCCAAAGTCAAAAATATCATAGACCCATTCATCTAATATGAAACAGGTTTCTGTATATACATAAAAAAATTAATTTGATATACACAGTGCCAACACTCAAGTATCAGCAGTGCTAAAAGGAAAAGCTTTTAGAGAGAATATATTTCTTTAAACCTAGAAGATCAATGGAAACTAACATATTGCCTTGCTACCATAAACATCTTGGCAATTATTCTATAGTATGAACCCTCCTCCCAATCACAGATAAGTCTGTTGAGCAATCTCTGGAGGACTGCAATAACCGTCATCTTCTAGCTGTGGCAAAAATTGATTCATTCCCTTGGTTGGCACTTTCACACTTTCAGGCAAACACATTTGTCACAGCTGCAGTTGTTACTTTTTCCTGACATTCTCCAGTAAAAAGCCATCTTGCTTCTTGTCATGCGGCTGAAATGCAAACCAAAATTCTTGGTTTCCTCTGGCATGGAGATGATCTTCAATCGAGTAGTCTCTAGTTGCCTAGTCAAACTTCCATCCTTGGCTGTTCTATGCACTGGTTTAGATTAAGACCGGATTTTCAAGGCCAAAAGTTTGAACCAGAGATCACAGTGAAACAAAACTCCCCCCTCCAAGACCAAAACCCCGAAATGTGTTCTTTGACTGCCTTCACGATGCAGACCTCCAGCATTAAAAGAAAGGAAATCACCAATAAAGGATTGTCAAGAAAGAGAATAAAGCTGGGACACCTTAACAACTGCAATATTCACCTTTTTTATATGCATGACCTTTCTTCTATACCAATTCTAACAACTTTATACAGCCGCTGGAGTTTGCTGCAATGACCATGTTTGATTTTCGTCTCCAACAGACACTTGAAACGAACTGTTCATTATCATCATCAGTCTCTTTGCCAGAAATGGGATCAATGGAGCCAAATTTGAGGGAAGTGATTGGCATAGGCAGAGATCGGTAATAAGCAAAGACCTGTCAACAAAGAAGATAAGCACCATAAAGCACATGATATTTAATGCATTTAGATTAGACTTCCAATGCAAACATCAGACATCTTACCAACTACAAATAGGAGGAAAAGGATCAAATGGAAAAAAAAAAAACTCAACAATTCACTCAGTCTTTGTTCAGTTCTCAGTCATGACCATGTCCAGGTGAAAATAATTGAGTAAATTATTTTAATGAGAAGGCACGTCCAATTAGAATTATGAACTCTTATGCGCAAAAAGTAACCGTTCAACTTACATGCACGGGAAAATTGGATTACATGTCATGCAATTAATACGTACACAAGGTCCAGAAAAAAAAAATCATATAAGGCAAACCAAGGAACCAACAGTTCAGAAGGCTCTTTAGCTTTCCACACCTCTTTAATTTCTCTTCCTTTCCTGAATTTAATAGGTAAAGACGTCGAGATATTTAAATTCTCGCTTTTACCAGATCTACAGTAATCACCATCCTGTGTGTGCACTTCGACATCAGTGCCTCACCAATATCCAGCACCACACAATCTGCTGGAAAAGTAATAAGAGTACTTTTGTTCATTTAAAGAACTTCAACACTTTAGAAACACATTGAGAACATCTTCTTGACAGATACAGAAAACAGGTAGAAGCAAAATCTGAAAACCTAGAATACGTTTCTAAAACAAAACTTTGTTAATATACAAACAAGATAGATATTGGCCTTAATGTTCTGTATGGCATACAGGAAACTCAAAAAGAGTACAATGCATGGTGCATTGGTTCACATTTTTCTCAAACAAATTCCAATTTGATTCACGCTCTCAATGAGAATCTAAAACTACTACTAATTTATAGATAGGGTTCAGGTATTACAAGTCTTAAATAAATACATGCGAAAGATAATTTTAACACAAAGCCTAAACTCAAAGCACACTAGCACATAATCCTTTATTAGATTTTGCACATTTAGTTTACGTATCTTCAAAATCATAGTCTTCTAGAGTGAATCTGATCTAAGGACTTTTGCTCCAGGGTATCTATCAAAGCACACTGTTTCTAATAATCCTGAACTTGCCATCAAAGTATCATGTCCAACTTGATTGCAAAATTCCAAAAGTCTATGATATTCTTTATTGTTCTCAATAGGCTTTAGCGAAAGCACTTACTTGTCAACGTTCATCCTCAAAATTAAGTATGATCAATTAGACAAACTAGAAAGGGTCATAAGTTCCTTGTAATTCAGTCTACATTACATCAACACCTAAGTTGGTGCAAATCGCAGCTTGTTCTCACCTCATTTGTCTCGGAACCACATGTGATGTATCCATCAGCAACAGATAAACCCACAAAGTTCTGAAGGAGCAAGAGAAGAAAATTATAGTAGGTAAGGACAATAATCATTGTAATTATGTCTGACCAAGTAAAGAAAATCACTATCAGAGTTAAAAGAATTGAGGTTGTGAAGTGGAGTAGCAACCTTCTCATTAGTATGTCCTCGTAGGGTTAATACACAAGCATCCCTTGACAAACCGTTAGAATTGGTTTTATTCAAATCCCAAATCTTCAATGTATTGTCCGTGGATGCAGAAACTAGTGTTTCATTGTCCAGAAATTTGGCATAGCTAACAGCTTTCTCATGACCAGCCAATATACACCAAGGTGTCGAAATATTTCGAAGATCATAACAATATGTCTTGTAATCAGCAGTGCTAAAAGCCAGCAAGTATGTTGACTGAGCTGAAAACTGAACAGAGCAGACATTGGCATTATTCCTGATTGTGCACAAACTGTTTCTCTGCATCAAAAGGAAGAAAAACAAAGTCAATACATCCAACTGAAACACAGCTGGAACCAAATGTGAAATTGGACTATTGTTGGTAGTTACAAAAGGCATAAGACTACCTTTTCATAGAAACACCTCTGAGCATATTCATGGTAAAAGGGAAAACTAGATATAGCCATGCTTCTTCTCTATATCCTCCACTTAACAACAAGGACAGCTAAGCATATCTTTTCATTCTTATGTTTCATTATTTAACAGTCACAAGCTGTTTAGTCTTCCAACATCCACACTAATGTCACCACATGAGGTTGCAGTTCATGGTTAAAGTATGCATTTTCTCATATCCGATGCAGCTTTTATTGAGCTCCTTAAATAAACAAATTACTCTCCTAAGATGGCAATTCAAAATTGAGATTGTAAACTCAATTATATGATATTATTTTTTGAAGCACGTTTCTTATATTCATCAGGCAATGAATGTCTAGTTTCTATGTTTAATTAACTTACATCATCTGTAAGTTGGAGCTCTCTCTCCCCTGCCCCCCCCCCCTTCTTTTTTTCATTTTTTACTTGGCAGGAAGAACTTGAGTACCCCCCCCCCCCCCCAAAAAAAAAGAAAGAAAGAAGATAGTTGTATTTTGTTACTCAAGGTATTAGAAAACATCTAGTACAAGATTTGGAAGAAAGCATGCCTCATTAATGCTCCAAAGTTTCACCAAATGATCATCACTTCCGCTGGCAAATTTTGTCGGATCCAGCCGAGAAAAGTCAACAGACCAAGCCCTTTCGTCATGCTCAACAAATTCAGAAAATCCCTGACCAGTTGCTGCATCCCATAACTGGAACCATCCAGGTATATCATGTCATTAGCAGTTTGCTGAAAATCAGTAAATATCAACAGCAACAATTACAGGTCACTATAGCAGGAGATAAAGACTTTAAGAAAGGAAAATGAGCATCAAAATTTTAAAATTTATCAATTATCAAAAACAATCCAAGCCAAAGTTTTCATGACAAAGCCAAACAGTCAAACCTAGAGAAAGACCTGTAAATCATGCTCACATAAAACAAAAAGTGAAAAACAATAGCCTAGGCTGAAAGCATACTAGTTGTAGAATTTTGCCGGATCCATGACTCTATTAGCCCTCTAAGTAAACAATCAGAAAACATGAGAAATGCAGGAACATCAAGGGAAAAAAAAACCGTTAAAACAATGAGTACACAGAAGACCCCAATTCCTTATTTCAAGACATATATAATATCTTGAAAATCCCTTCAAAGAGCAAAGCAAGAGAGACACATGGAGAAGGGAAAAAGACCCACATGGCTGATGTGTGCTTCACCAACGAATATGTCTATCCAGCATATTTGCCAAAATAAGCTCTCCACCCTCGGTCAAGGAAGCTAAATTTGCATTATATTAATTTGGCTAGATTTGAGGCAGTGGTAAGCTTGGTTTTAAGGGTGGGGAAAAAAAGCCCTGCATATAAATGTACCGTGAAGAAGCTCATGTAGTGTTAATAAGAAAATCAAGTTGCCTGTCTGGTTCTCATGATGATGATGGAGAATTGAAATAGCGATTTTGAAAACTACAGCCTAACATTACTTGGTACACACCAATTGTAGAAAGGGAAAAAAAGCGTGACCAAATAGCCTACACTAAACAAAGAAAAAGCATCATGATTTCATTATGAGCTTCAGAATGAAATGTAGAGTTCTCTCTCAAAGGGGAAAGATCAGATGACAGAGATTTGAAATTTAACGATTCTAAAGAAAAAACGCCATCCATATATCTATATTTTTTAAGAACTAAAACTAGAGGTTATGTCATGGCAGTTAAAATTTTAATTCTGCACGAAGTTCTATATCCGAAAAATTAACCAAAATAAAAACTTCAAGCCCCTGCAGAATCAATGGCAATTTTGTGCAGTTACCGAGTGGAATGACTTTGATGTATTGTTTTGTTACCATTCCACCACCCCAAAAAAAAAGGGTTACTGTTATCTAGCAGAAATATATGACAGAAATAAATTTACTCTGTACCACTTGAAGAACAAACCGTGTAATACACACCTTGACTGCCCCATCATAGTCAGTAGAGGCAAGATAGTTCCTTATATAGCTATTCCAGCAAATGCAGCTGAGCTTCGATTTGTTTGACATCTCAACTACTGGATAATGAATGTCAACAGAATCGTCAAAAAGTGCATGGAAATCAAATATCTTAATTTTCTTTGAGACTCCACCAGCAGCCAGATAGTCCTCATCCCGGTCAAAACTCAAGGAGCATATTACATTTGCTGAATTAGCCATATCTCCATTCCTCAAAACCCCTCGCACTTTAAAATTACTATAGCAAGCATACTTGCACAAATCGGTAAAGAATCCCCCAAGGCAATCAGTGGTTTTACATATCCCTCTGTCCTTCCCTAACGACCAGTTCTCTCGAATTCTTAACAATCCTTTGTCACCACGTGTAGTCATATCCTTTCGAGGAAGCTGAATATTAGATCTCATTGAAAAATAAGCACTTTCAAGCTGCCTGATATTCTTTGTCATCTTCTCATCACATAAAAGAGGCAACCTAGGACGAAAATCTGAACTTACATGCCCCCTCCTAAGCAATCTGTTTCTCTTTGTAGCAAGGGACTCCTCAGCTAAGGAGGTACAAGCTGGTAATTCTCTAGTTTGCCTTTTCTCAACCTCTTGAACATCTGCTTCTATGAACCTAATTTCCTCTACTAAGTTTGAAGCATCTCTTTGTTTTTTCTCTTTAAGTGACAAGAGAAAATGCAACAGCAATTCAGATTCAGCATCCTCTTCCTCAATAGATGATACCAATTCATCTCCAGCTAATTCCTGAATGCTGCATATAACTTCAAATTGCAGAATTTCCCTGCCAACCGAAGCAGCAAATGAGTGTAGTGTAATGCATTTAGCTTCACTGACTCATACTACTGCATACATATGATGCAAGCAGATTTGCTTGTAAGGAAAATTTACCAGGTAATGATACAAATTGATGACCCACAGACATGAAGAAATAAGTTAAGCCAAGCAGGAAGGGCTTGACTTGATTACAGTAATCTGAAAGTCTGTCCAGTAACCACCAGTTAGGTTATTAGTATTTATATATAGAAGAGGCCCTAGACGGAATGAAAAAGAACATATGCTGAAAAGTAGAGAGGCTTAGGATCGATGCATGTTTGATAAGCTGGACGCCTTTAGGCTTCAATAAGGAAACTTGCTTGAGTACCATATTTCAGTTTTCCATGTACAAGATAAGGAAAAGGAAAAACCAGGGAATACAGGTGCAATGAAAACACTGAATATACCTGGCAGTCGGACGTGACGATGATTCAGGATGAAGCAGCCAAAGGCAAAATCCAGCTTCCTTGGGATTCTCTGACAGGAACTCTGGAGGAAGAATCCTGTGACGTAGATCCAGCATTGCTGCTTCATGAGATCTTCTAGAGTCAAAAGAACTGAGTAGCTGCAAATCATCCATTTTAGTTTTACAACTCTACCCTTAATGACGAAGAGCTACAAGTAAAAAGAAGACAACTATTTTTCTGGCCAAGTTGCAAAATGAAGTGGAGCAATACAACTGGCCCTGGGCCTTCACAGAAAAGTAACTATAGTTCCTCCACTCTCATTAGATTCATAAGCTTCATAAGCTGAGAAAAAGGCTTCCTGTAAATGTCCAATTCAGTACTATTAGTCAAGCTAACAACCAACTTTTGTTTCTCACGCTATCATGGTTCAAATTTTCACACAACTATAAACCACGAAGAAGACCTGGGAAGTTCATCTCCATTAGCACCTACTTTCAACAGTTTGTGAGTAACTGCCTAAAACCAATAAGCACACGGGGAAGACCAAATTATAAAACCTCTATCTAGAAATAATTAAGATCGGCAGAACTGCAAGTTTAAACTGGGTAATTTGCAATTTCCAGTTAAATATAAGGAAGCCAAAGCAATTGAAACACAAGGATGGTGATCTTATGGATTATAGCGTAAATAAGGTCAAATTTTAAATTGATCCCACGGACAACAAAAACAATGTGATAGACATCCTGTTTGGACAAGTATAACATCTAAACCACAGGGGGTAGGGATTGTTCTCTCACCTCAAATAGAAGAACTCCCAAAGAGTAAATGTTCGATGAAAATGCCAAACGCCTCTCAGTGTGCTGCTCAGGACTGGAATACCATTTCTCTTCCGACATAAAATTTACTGAAGTTAAGATTGGTGGTGACATATCAGGTGCTTGTGGAACACTGGATCTGCTCTGAGACTTAAAGTCCACCTTGATATTTTGATTTTCACTAGACCCACTCCCAGAATTAGGCCCCAAGAAACTATCCACTCTGCTAATATCAACAGATGCAGTTTTGAAGTCAAAACTGGATGAAGAGTGAGGCAACCTTCCAGAATGTAGCATATTATCACCAAACTTTTGCTTCTTTGCAAAATGATGGTCAAAGGGTAGCAAGTTCTTTTTGAGTGGCCTCTTGCCAATTTGATCATGCTCAGACCGGGGAACATCATGATCCAAGACATTGTCTGAAAGATGAACAGATGATCCCAGATAAATAACTCTGTTTGATGGCAACAACTTGAAGTAAGATGGGCGCAACTCTTTCAAAGCAATTCCTTGAGAGTGCGAAAAATCCACCAGTTTGACAATTTGTCTAAATATGCGCAAGTTCTCCATTTTATTTGCCTTATTCTGACCAGCTCTAAGCCACTCTCTCAAAAGGACCCCATCAGGGTTAGGAAAGGTAGAAATACTAGACCAAACTTCAGGAAAGACATTGCTGATAGGCATAACAACATCTCGAGTCGAACTCAATGGGGTATTTGAACTCAGAATCCCAGTACTGGTAGACCTTGAATAACTCTGGTTCCCTGACTCATCACCAAATCCTCTGTCTAAAGGACCTTTGTATATTATTCCCTTGCCCTTCAATGTATTCTTTATAAAATATTCAGAATACCCAGACTTGGATACAATTTTTGTTCGGGTAACTCCTGAGGAGAATGCATTACTTAACATACTTTTATTGTCATTACCTGGAAAATTATCCAAGAGTTCTTGATAATTTTCACCAGAAGGCTTCTGATTTTGATCCAAAAACCCTGAATAGAATAAATGCCCAGTATCCTCCCAGACACTTTTTGCTTCCCAATTCCTGTCTCTATTTGCAGCATCTCCATTTGAGCCTGCACTTCCTGATCCAGTCGCCTTCTGATGCAAATGCTTCTTCCAGCTCTGCACTCGATCTCTATTGTCAGAGGTACCCACTATAGCAAGATTTTCACCACTATAATTTGTGAACGTCAATTCTTCAACCATAATTCCAGAATTATTCATACAGTGAGGACTCACACTTGCTTGTTCTGAAGAACCCATTCTATCCAAATTTTTCCCATCCAAAATATCTGTAAACAAATGAGACGAGCCCTCATTCTGATCACTCTCATGTGATTCTAAAAGACTGGAGTTACTGGGCTTTAAGGAGTATTCACGTTGTTTATGTATAACGTGCATACCATCAGCAGCAGTAACTCCTGTTGCATCATCATCAACCGCCTCATCCATCCCGTTCAAAGTGTATATTCACTTATGCATCCAATCTGCATGTAACATGCTCATTTGGTCAAGACAACTATTAAAATCACAAAAAACTTTCTTCACTTTGACCAGACTATGTCAGACAACTTAGAGCATATTTGAGCTACTTTCAGTCTAGCCAATAATGTCCGAGAACTTGGACAGTGATTTAAGTCCACAGACAAATAATCCACCCAAATCCAAGAGGTCACATCCAATATGCTCAATTGTACTAAAGGAAAGAGGTGGATACAATATGCTCAATTTGTATAAGGAAAGAGAAATGGAGCTAAGTTGAGTGAAGTTCGTGCTCCTTCAATCATAGAACGAATGTCTTTTTTTATTCTTTTTGGATCAAAGCATTGGTCTTCCATATCAATATCTTATCTAATCTTTTTGAAAATTTTTTAAAAGGTTACAAACTTTCACGAGTGCAATTCTTACAACTTTGAAAAGATGATGAAATTCATCAATAATCTAATGACCTATTTCAATTTGCAATGAAGAACATACTCCATGTTATTGGATTGAACTGCAAATGACATTTAGCATTATCACAATTCCGGTGAGCCTATTAGGGTTATATTCCTACAGATGGGGCCATGTATATCACTATTTAAAAAAAGATAATAGGTAAACATACAAAAAGAAAACTACCATCATAGATCATTCACCACTTGCACTTTTCTAGTTCATAATACAATTGTTACTTGGTCATTTTCATATCTGCATATTGTCAACCAAACACAGGAATATTGACTCTGATAAACTATTTTGCTATGACAACATTTTACATCAAACCAAAGTGGCCTGACAGGTCAATAAAATCACAAAGATAACCAATCAAAATCAAAATGTCAACCATTTAAGATGCTTCAAGAAAAAGATTCCTCCAACACCTAGACTTTTCCCGTTCACTCCCACTTCTTTTTCTTTTAATCTGTGTCTCTACTCCAATTAATTGACGAATATACAAACAACACAATAACACGTTGCCAAAGTCATAATCTGCTCCTTGCACCGAGCAATTCCTTAACTGGCATATGTATAAAAAAACAACAAAAATAGTTTCCTTAAACTGCCAATCAATACCCCTTACATAAAATTAAACTTGCCAAAAAACAATAAAGCACAGCCAAACAACATCATCTCAGCATCAAAAGAAAATATTACATTGATAAAAGGAAAACCATACAGCCAAAACCTTTACCAGCTTACTCAGCCTATAATGATTAGCTGAAAACAGATAGTATCATACTTCAGAATTAGGTATAACTCAAAAAATAAAAAATAAAAAATCATCCCTTAGAGCCAAAAGAGGAGCTGTCCCAGTATTTGGACCTCTGAATAAATACTAAAATACTGCAAAATATTCAACACATCCAGCAGAAATACAAAAACTATCTAAAGCTCAGAACTTTTACGTTCCTATAAACAACGATTCAGTAAATTGAAGAACATAAACAACATTTCTTCCTATCCTTTTTTCAGAAAGCAAAAACCACAAAAGATAATAAGGTTCAAGTAAAAAGCTGCAATTTTTAAATTTATTAGCATTCAGATGAAGAATTAGTTGGGGTCTGGGCTGAACCATATTTCCAAATTCAAACCTTCACTCTTCATTTTTCTACATATTCCCCAAAAAACCCAGAAAAACCCAAAACTCAGTAACAGTTATATTGAAGAAAAAAAACGTTACAGCAAATATTGCATTTTTAACTCAAGATTTTCCAAGAAAAAGAAGGGATTAAAGTTGAAGGGCAGTTAAAGGATTACCTAAATTGGGTTTTAAAGGACGGCATGAAGCAGTAAAATCCTCAGGGTACCGGCCAAAGTTGAAGAAAGGAGAGGATTATTATGAACCATGGAAAAGAAAATAAATAAACAAATAAATAATAAGAGCCCTAAAGTTTTGAGGGTGTTAGCTTAAAAATGGTGTGGAGAGGGATAAATTATCATGGGACTTACCTGAAATGGCAAGAAATATCTTGGGTACGCTACTGGCCATAGGAGAATAATTTATATCCGCGGTCATTAGAAGTTTAGAACCACTTGTTAAATATTTAAAAATCATGGGATCTCCAATTTCCGATTATTGTATTACTGGTAATACCTTGGAAAATAGGCATAGTTGCCTAGTTTGCTCATTCTACACGAGAGTAAAATACTTTTTTATCAAAAAAGAAAATTACTTTTTTCTTCTAATCTTCGCCACAATAATTAGTTCTTTTTTTTCTTTTTCTTTCTAAAACCCTACACGTTACAGGTTGCTTTTTAGATAGTTTTTAAGACATAGGATAAAACACAATGATTAAAAAAAAAAAAGGGGGAATCTCACTATGAAAGAACTGAAATTATCACAGTACTAATCTTTTATCTTGTGTTTTAACTTTTAAGAGCACATAATATAAGAATTATTATTAAAAAAATAGATTTCATTGTTGAGAGATTTAACTCAAGTTTGACTCATAATGTTGTGAAATCATAAATCTAATCTCTTGGAAAAATTATAGAAGAAATATGTGAAGAAAATTAAAAAAAAAAGTTTCTTGGATCTTTATAAATATGTGATTTGTTAAATCAACTTTCCTAATTATGATCGTCTTAGCTTTTTAGATTATATAAATGAGTTGAATTCAATTGAATAACTTGTAAGGAGACAATATACTATAACTTGTAAGTATACCAATATATACAATATACACGGCTATTGATCAGGGTTTGTTTGGATAGCTGATTATTTTTTAAATATATTTATTTACATCATTATTATAATTTTTAATATATTTTTTGATCTTTTTAATTATTTTTTTATCTCATATACATCATATTACAAAAAGTGCTAAGTAAAAATATCTCAAATAACTTACAATCCAAACAAAAGTTAGAATACGAACTTTTTAAGTCAAGTGAAATTTAAATATTATATCGAGTCAATCCGACTCGATCCAACTACACCTGTAGATAAAGGGTGAGAGGTGCGTGGGATATATATGAAGTGGCAAACAGTCCTCCACGTCTGTCAAACAGTGATGTCCTATGTAGATGTCAGCGGCAGCTGCAGTCAGATTCAGAAGAATGACTGCTGACACGTCCTCCATCAACTGGCTTGCCCATCTAAAATTCCAAGCCAATGCTCCCTTAGATAATGATAACAACTACTTGGACCTCATATACTAACCCACGTTCCAACGGGTGCCACTAAACTACTCTCCTTCTTTTGGTCGATACAAGAATTCCTATTCGACTTATATTTCTACACCATCATCAAATCAGACAAGTGGCTAATACATCTTCTAGTGAAATATTAATATAAAATTAAAAATTTGATCTCTCGACCTACATCCAATAAAAAATTTGGTGACCATCTCGACTAGCCTGAGTTAAGTTTATTGTTAGTCTACTTATAACACAGTAATATTTAAGGCCCAACAAAACATATGACGGAGTTCCTATTAGTATCGCCGCCTCTCAAGATTTTGAAGAAGAGTCTACTCATGACACAATAAAGCCCAACAAAACATGTCACAGAGTTCCTAACAGGATCACCGCCTACCAAGGTTTCAAGCGGAATAAGGGTACCTACAATTACCGATGTCAATTACACTATGTAGTGTTCATAGTATTAGTAGAATAAATGTAGATATTAAGATAATTTTCAGTTACACATTTAAACGTGTAACAAAAATTGTTGTGACTTGTATATGTTATTGTGTTAACATTTACTTTTATCCTTTAATATTTGTATTGCACGGTGTAATTAATTGTCGCAAATAATTATAACGACCCTTGATCCCTTTCAAGAAAGTCAAAAAAGTACTTATAAATCATGCGTAAAAGCACTCTTGTTCGTCATCATCTTAGTTCAGTTGATAAAGATATCAATCATGCTGCAATTTATCCATTGCAATTGTAATAGGAAAAAAGAACATGTGATGTAGCTTAAGGAAGATCTGTTTGAATTATTTCCGTGGATGGCTTGTATAGTTAGAGTTTGAGGACTCGTAAACATTTTATTTGATCACGTGCTACTATTTTTACTTTTCCCTCTCGAGAGAAAATGATGATTTAGTGCTAATAACCAATATCGACTGAATGCTTCAACCAAGACAACCAAAAAAAAAAATAAAAGATTCATTTAAGGACTCTCGAAAAGGAAAAGAAATATTAGTAACGTACAAGAAACATAGGATGGAACAACAACTTGAGTAGTGACAGTTATTGCTGCTCAATGCGGCAGATGATTCAATGTGCTTTGGGAATATAAAATTGATAAACTAATGCTAAATTTAGCATCAAATTGTCTGTATCTTCTTTGGAAGAAAAAGGCGATCTTGGAAGTAGATGAAACCAACATTTGGATCGGTTCCTTACTTCCTTTTGAGAAAATAAATTACTTAAATGCGAAATTCATGGTTTAAAAAAAAAAGAGGAAGACCATTTGGTGTCTATTGTTCTGTCGGTCCATTTGACACAAATTGGAGGGAATGGATGCTTCTGAGTCCAATCGCCTGAAAACTCAGGCAGGCCCATTGGAGCCCATATTAATCTTGTCCTACCACGCCAAAATGAAATAGATGCTTCTTCGCATGAAGGAAATAGGTTGGGGCTGGTTTCGGATTTCCTTAGGCCCTAGCTTACAAGACAGCACATGAAGCCACGACGCAGAGCAGATATTACTGTGAATTTTGCTCACAAAAAAGAAGAGAGAGAGTTTCCAGACAATTTGTGTAAATTTTGATGCTGCATTGCATGGCCTAAATAACTCAACAATTTCTAGCTGCAGTTTGATCGTGTGCAACTATAAATACCACTTGACTAAATGTTGTATTCCAGAGAATACACATACTACTGTTTTTTAAGGGAAATATTCTAAAAACTATTACCTATTATAGGCTATTTCTATGACCAAACCAAGCAAAACTATTCAGAAGGCTGTCTGCATTCAGGGAGTCGCACTATACAAATTGAAGAATGCAAAGCCTCCAATCCATGCAAGTTTGTATGACAAAGAACTTCACCAGGTCCATCGTATTAGGCTGTAAGAAAAAAAAGACTATCAATGCTGAGGCACCCCTGCCTGTCATGTATATAAGTTAGCCTGTATGCATCATCTATCTCAGTATCTTCTTAAAAATGAGCTTAGAACTTCGGATGGAAGAAAGGATCCTGCCCATTTTGATATAACTCAAACAGCTTCTCATAGTACTGAATCGCAAGATCTTTACACTTTGAGAGCACTTTTGGATCTTTTTGTTGAGCGTCTGAGACAGTTCTCTTTAACTTGAACTCTGGATCCCCATCAATTAAAAACTCAGCTAATTGAGTTACACTGAAAAAAAAAAACAAAATCACGAGCACATCCTTCAGTCAAGGCAATCAAAAAACTTGAAAAACCAAGGTCTATTAAATGAACGAGTGTTTAAGCCCTCAAATAGGAGAGTGCATAGAATTTTCAATGCCTTTCACTATGACAATACTTAAAAGGACATCCGAAATGGAACAAATGTAGATAGTTCTCAGCAAGTAGCTGCATACCCTAACACTTTTCTGCTACAGTGTATCATCTGATATTAAAAGAAACTTGATCCTATTTACATACAAAATGAAGCACGCAGTCCAAAACAGTCTGAGCAAAATACCACGCTGGTTCAAGATTAAATCCAGTTGAAATTAAAAGGTGGGCTTGGTCTTATTTTCTTCAATTTTCGTAAAGCTGCCGAAAAAAGAGATTCATGACAAATGCCAAAATTAGTATTAAAGGCTATAATTTGTTCCAAACATTTCAAAAAGTCTCCTCCCCAAATAACCTTTCCCAGTATCTAAATAAGCAAAAAGCACAGCAACAGCACACAAGAAAACCTTGAATAACTGTTTGTTTCACAGTGATGACTAATTTTAAACATCATTGCATTTCATTGTCAGAGATTCAAATGAACCATATTGGAAAGTATGGATTGTCTGCATTCACATTGGTCATACCTCATTGCATCACAATAGGAAAAACCTGGATCTGCAAGAACTGATGATTTCATGGGGGATTTCTCTGCAGAATTTTTCTTCCGATAGAGAGCACAAACTGCATTCATGCAGAGTTCATCATCCTTCTCAAGATCTGAAAGCATGTCTGCCGCAAAATTCCATGTCTTCAGCCTGTATCCTTTAGCAATTGCAACCATTTTATCCACATAAGCTTCCAGACAAGATTCGCTCTCTGAATCACTAGAAGTACAATCACTCGAGTAATCATTATCATCAAAGAGTGATTTTTTCAGACCAATTTGGACACTGCCACCTCTCCTTACTTCTCCTAAGCGATTTTGAACAGAAGGCAAAAGAGGTTCAAGACCAGCGGATTTGCAGTCAAGCTTCACTGAGCTGTCACTACCAAGGGAACCATTTTCATCACGAAGCAACTGCCCATTTTCTTCTTTCTTCCTCTTAGCCACCATAAAGTTAGTGTCACTAGTCTCAATCATGCTTCTTTTTCTTTTTGGCATCTGATAAATATCACAATCTTCCATGGAACCAGTTCCATCCTCTTCCTCTGTTTTCATAAAGCATGCACCTTTCCCAATATTAATGAAAGGCAACTTCTTTCCAGTTGAGTTGATGTCTGAAGCACAAGTAGTAAAGAAATGTGTAGACCCAGCAGGAAGATTTTCTTCATCACTATCACTAATTTCAATAACAATGGGAGATCCAGGTGCCTCACTAACTGGAATGCATGAAGCAGCTGCCTGATTGGAGCTATCAGTTTCAATCACCAATTGTTTTGGACCACCCATTTGATTATCACAACCATTATCTGTATTGGTTAAAGCTGCAACAGAAAACATACAGAGTTTAACAGGATACAAAAATTTCAAGGAGAAATATTACATGTAAGAATGCAAACTCAAATATGGCCAAAGGTTTTGAAAAGGCCAGAGTGTCACTTTTCTGCAGGCATCTGTTCATAGTCCTTAGATATTGCTGAAGAAAGCAGAGTTTTATGTTTCACTGGCCACATTTCAAATGCTTGGTGCTTTAGCTAGCATTCCTTGACATGAGGTAGCTTAGATTTTTTTTTCCCTCAGTATATTTGGATTGTTGGAACTATAACTTCATGTGGCATGTCATGTAAACTGATCCCGGGAAGTAAGTGTAACATGAATGCAGCTAATAAGTAAACAACACAATGACATGAATATAAAGAGGTTAAAAATGTAGCAAATTAACATCTTTCCAAATAGATCAACAGAATAAACATCTTCACAAGATAAAAAAGGGAAGAAGGATATGCAATATTATGTTTGTTTGTGTATAATTAAAAGTATGGAGGTTGCTAACAACAAACACTGTTATAAATTTCAAAATAATTAAAAATATGGTGGTTGCTTCCATTTAGCAAGTATTCTAAAGTTCAAAATAACAAAGGACTTACAACACACAAAAACTGTTATGATGTTCTCCATAATTAAAAATATGGAGGTGGCTTCCATTTAGCCAGTATAATAACGTATGACTGACCCAAAAAGTTACAAATATCATGAACAATGCAGCAACAAGCTGCTACTGCTTGGTAAAATTCATATGTTATGTCTGAAAGTAGTTCAAAAAGACCCTTATACCAAGTGATTCGACATGCCGCCCTTTTTTGTTTTTAACTTAGTATTCAACTTGAAGTCCTTAGGAAACAAGGCACCAATTCTACTATGATTAAGTCTATATCAGTTACAAAGCTAGAAGTGGCACACCGTCCAAAACCCTCAAAGGGTACCATTTACCACTGTTAAAGCTTGTTTCAGAAGGTGCTAGTTTTCAGATCATATCTTCTTCAGTGCTTATTGACCTATCTTCTGTGACACCAATATAACGAAATTATTCAACTGACCTGGTTAGATGCACGTAAAACTTCAGTGCAGCCCGAACATTAGAAATCTACTTGAATCAAGGGAGATTATAAGTTTCAATATGGTATTGAATTATGTGCAAGATTCTGAAGAAGGGGTTACTTCACATAGCATCAAGTGGTTTTACATGCATTTGAGTGATATGCCTTACATGCACTCCTATCATAACAAAGAAAATCAACACTGGTGCTTAGATACTGTGAATACAAGCTCTTAAGCTCACAAAAATCAATCTTAAGATCCAGGTTTGTAACTAAATTCCGTAAGAGAAATACTTCAAGCAAGTTGCTAGACTGTGACTACAAATATAGCTAAAAGAACCAAATAAATTAGAATACCTGCTGCCAACAAAGTTTTATTTTCTTCTTCTGGGTGAATACTTTCTGTTCCAACTTCAGGAGCATCACAAGCAGCTTGTACATCAGTAGAACACAGAACCACATCATGTCCATTCATTGTCCTCGCATTACTTTGCAACAACTCCTTGCCATTGAGATCTGTATCCAAATATGAGGTTATACCAGACTCAAACAGGTAAAGAAAAATAAGTGACACTCCTACAGCTTTCCTAGTAAAGTAATTTTCATTCTTGGAACATTTAATTGTTAATTAACCTTATGAAATGCAAACATATAAGGGGGACCAATGATCTCAAAGAGCTCTTGAAACGTGTCATACATATCCATGAATAAAATTTCTTTTGAAGGTCTCACTTCACAAGCATTAGTGCACATGAGGAGGAGCAGTAGTTTATTAACAGCATGCTACAGGATCCCAGAGGAATCTGTCACCTTTTTGACAGACACTGGTAAAGGACCACTCAACTTAAAAAATATGACGTAAGAATGAGAATGGATGATATGCTGAATGCAGAAGATGGTAAAAGAAAATAAAAGTGAATTGAAGAAGAACTTCCGTTATCTCTTTTTAGATCTTGCGGTATAAATATCAAGATTCTTTCGCCTTTAGAACTTTCACTAAGAAACTATTAAGTGCTATCAAGGGCAGTAGTTGGGATCTGGTCTACTAAATGCAAAAGTCAAGAACAGCTGCTTATGGAAGTCAAGGACAGCCTGCTAGCAAAAGTAAAAGTCAAGAACAGCTGCTTATGGAAGTCATGGGCAGCAACTGATTATGAGATCTGATCTGCTAGCAAAAGACAAGAACAGCTGCTTATGGGATCTAGTCTACTAATTGCACTAATCAAGGAGAGCTGATTATGGTCTACTATATTAGATGTATATTAGCATATATGTAATTAATACATTAGAGAGGTAGATATTCTGACGGAGGAGAGAAGGTACAGAGTTTTTCTATTTAAATGGAAAAGATGCACAAAAGAGGCATTCGGTCTTTGATCTAGAAAACTTGTCATGGTATCAGAGCCAGTTATTTGAATTTCTCAGCCTTTCCAAACTTTCTGAGTTGTTATCCTTCTTGGGTTGATTATTTTGATCAATCATTTGGTTTCAAGATATCCTTTTGGGTCAATCATATTGTGGTTGGCAGCTTTTCTTGTAATTCAGATCTTTGTTTTTTTTTTGAAAGAATGTCTATGGAAAACTCTATGGGAAAAATACATACGGAATCTTTGTCCATCAAGTTCACTGGAAAAAATTATGCGGCATGGGAATTTCAATTTAGGATGTTTCTAAAAGGCAAAGAGCTTTGGAGTCATATTGACGGGTCTTCTACAGCACCTAGAGATGGAAAGGAAATTAGTCAATGGGAGGCAAAGGATGCTAGAATTATTTCTTGGATTCTAGCATCTATTGAAGCTCATATGGTGAACAATTTACGCTCCTTTAATACAGCAAAGGAGATGTGGGATCATTTGAAGCGTGTATATCATCAAGATAATACAGCAAGAAGATTTCAGCTTGAATTGGAAATTAGTACATGTAGCCAAGGTAATCTCTCTATTGAGCAGTATTATTCTGGATTTCTTAATTTATGGAGTGAATACTCTGGTATAATCTATTCTAAGGTACCAAGCGAAGCCTTAGCCGGTATTCAAGCGGTTCACGAAGATAGTAAGCGTGACCAGTTTCTAATGAAACTGAGGCCTGAATTTGAGGCGATTAGAGCTGGATTGTTAAATAGAAACCCAGTTCCTTCTTTAGACGTATGTCTTGGTGACTTGTTGCGAGAAGAACAGAGAATGGCTACACAAACTATCATAGGTACATCAAAGGAGATATCTGAAGTTGTCAATATTGCCTATGCTGCTCAAGGGAAGAATCGCGGAAAGGGACAAGTACAGTGCTATAGTTGCAAGGAACTTGGGCATATTGCACGCAATTGTGGAAAGAAATTTTGCAATTATTGTAAGCAAACTGGACACATTATCAAGGACTGTCCTACACGCCCTGAGAATCGAAGAGTCCAAGCCTTTCAAGGTGCTGTCCAAGACTCTAACACTATTGGTTCTACATCCACAGCCACAACACTTACTCCAGAAATGGTTCAACAAATGATTCTTTCAGCATTTTCTACTCTTGGACTTCAAGGTCAAGGTAAAATTGTTTCTACTCCTTGGTTAGTTGATTCTGGAGCATCAAATCATATGACTGGTTCATCTGCATCACTACATAATCTACGGCAATATACTGGTACACAAAATATTCAGATTGCTAACGGCAGTAATCTTCCAATTACAGCCATTGGTGATATTGGACCTTCTTTTCGTCATGTATTTGTCTCTCCAGGGTTGTCTACTAGTTTGATTTCTGTTGGTCAGATGGTGGATAATAACTGTGATGTACGGTTCTCTCGTGATGGTTGTCTTGTGCAGGACCAGGTGTCGGGGAAGGTGATCGCGAAGGGGCCTAAAGTGGGCAGACTATTTCCTTTGCAATTTTCAGTTCCAAGTAGTTTGTCTTTGGCTTCTATGGTTGTTGACAATAAAGTTGAAGTATGGCATCAACGATTGGGTCATCCAAATAATGTCATTTTATCTTTTAATAAAGCATGATTTTCTGGGGAGCAAGGATCAGTGTTTTAATCATAAATTGTCTTTTGATTGTTCTACTTGTAGACTAGGGAAAAGTAAAATATTACCTTTTCCTAGTCATGGTGGTCATGCTAATACAAGTTTTGAGATCATTCATAGTGATGTTTGGGGTATTACTCCTGTTGTTTCACATGCACAATATAAATATTTTGTGACATTCATTGATGACTATAGTCGTTTCACATGGGTATATTTTTTGCGTACTAAAGCTGAAGTATTTGCTGTTTTTAAGAAATTTGTAGCTTATGTAGAAACACAATTTTCTACTTGCATTAAAGTTTTACGCTCTGACAATGGCGGGGAATATATGTCACATGCCTTTCAAGCATTTTTGCAACAGAGAGGTATTTTATCTCAACGATCATGTCCTTATACCCCTCAACAGAATGGGGTGGCTGAACGTAAGCATCGCCATTTGTTGGATATGGTACGAACCTTACTCTTGCAGTCTTCGGTTCCATCTAAATTTTGGGTGGAAGCTTTATCCACTGCAGTTTATTTAATCAATCGTCTACCTTCTCAACAATTGAATTTTGATTCTCCTATGACAACAGTTAGACTTGTTCTAGCTATTGCTGCTTCTACAGGCTGGTCATTGCGACAGATGGATGTAAAGAATGCCTTTTTACATGGCGATCTTCAAGAAGATATTTATATGACTCCACCATCAGGGTTATTTTTTACATCTTCTTCTGATGTTTGTAAGCTAAAACGTTCACTCTATGGCTTAAAACAAGCTCCACGGGCTTGGTTTGATAAGTTCCGTTCTACCCTTATTAGCTTCTCATTTGTTCAGAGCCAGTATGACTCCTCTTTGTTTCTTCGCAAGACTGATAAGGGACTGGTTTTACTTCTGGTTTATGTTGATGATATTGTTATCACAGGAAATGACTCTGCATTAATCTCTCAACTTCAAGAGCATCTTCAACGTTCTTTTCATATGAAAGATTTAGGTCCTCTACAATATTTTTTGGGCCTAGAAGTGCACTCTACCTCAGCTGGTATTTTCTTACATCAACATAAATACATCCAGGAATTAATTGCTTTGGCAGGTCTTCAAGATGGTCGGTCTGTTGATACTCCCTTGGAAGTAAATGTTAAATATCGCCGTGATGAGGGTGATTTTCTCTCAGATCCCTCTCTCTATCGGCAATTGGTGGGAAGTCTTAACTATTTAACTATTACTCGGCCTGATATTTCATTTGCTGTTCAACAAGTTAGTCAATTTATGCAGACGCCTAGGCATCTCCATCTAGCTGCTGTTCGTCGCATTATTCGCTATTTACTAGGCACTTCCTCTCGTGGTCTTTTCTTCTCCAAAAATTCTCCTATTCATTTGGCAGCCTATAGCGACGCTGACTGGGCAGGGTGTTCAGATACTAGACGATCAATTACTGGTTGGTGCATGTTTCTTGGAAATTCTCTTATTTCTTGGAAAAGCAAAAAGCAAGATAGGGTGTCTAAATCCTCTACTGAGTCAGAGTATCGTGCTATGTCCTCTGGATGTTCTGAGATCATTTGGCTTCGAGGCCTCTTAGGTGAGCTTGGGTTTCCCCAACTTGCACCTACTCCCCTTCATGCCGATAATACTAGCGCTATTCACATTGCTGCTAATCCTGTATTCCATGAGCGTACAAAACATATTGAAGTTGATTGTCACTCCATCCGTGAGGCATATGATGATCATGTTATTTCTCTTCCTCATATTACCACTGATCTCCAAACTGCTGATATATTTACTAAAGCTCTCTCCCGTCATAGACACAATTTTCTGGTTGACAAATTGATGCTTTTTGATCCACCAGCATCAATTTGAGGGGGGATATCAAGGGCAGTAGTTGGGATCTGGTCTACTAAATGCAAAAGTCAAGAACAGCTGCTTATGGAAGTCAAGGACAGCCTGCTAGCAAAAGTAAAAGTCAAGAACAGCTGCTTATGGAAGTCATGGGCAGCAACTGATTATGAGATCTGATCTGCTAGCAAAAGACAAGAACAGCTGCTTATGGGATCTAGTCTACTAATTGCACTAATCAAGGAGAGCTGATTATAGTCTACTATATTAGATGTATATTAGCATATATGTAATTAATACATTAGAGAGGTAGATATTCTGACGGAGGAGAGAAGGTACAGAGTTTTTCTATTTAAATGGAAAAGATGCACAAAAGAGGCATTCGGTCTTTGATCTAGAAAACTTGTCATGGTATCAGAGCCAGTTATTTGAATTTCTCAGCCTTTCCAAACTTTCTGAGTTGTTATCCTTCTTGGGTTGATTATTTTGATCAATCATTTGGTTTCAAGATATCCTTTTGGGTCAATCATATTGTGGTTGGCAGCTTTTCTTGTAATTCAGATCTTTGTTTTTTTTTTGAAAGAATGTCTATGGAAAACTCTATGGGAAAAATACATACGGAATCTTTGTCCATCAAGTTCACTGGAAAAAATTATGCGGCATGGGAATTTCAATTTAGGATGTTTCTAAAAGGCAAAGAGCTTTGGAGTCATATTGACGGGTCTTCTACAGCACCTAGAGATGGAAAGGAAATTAGTCAATGGGAGGCAAAGGATGCTAGAATTATTTCTTGGATTCTAGCATCTATTGAAGCTCATATGGTGAACAATTTACGCTCCTTTAATACAGCAAAGGAGATGTGGGATCATTTGAAGCGTGTATATCATCAAGATAATACAGCAAGAAGATTTCAGCTTGAATTGGAAATTAGTACATGTAGCCAAGGTAATCTCTCTATTGAGCAGTATTATTCTGGATTTCTTAATTTATGGAGTGAATACTCTGGTATAATCTATTCTAAGGTACCAAGCGAAGCCTTAGCCGGTATTCAAGCGGTTCACGAAGATAGTAAGCGTGACCAGTTTCTAATGAAACTGAGGCCTGAATTTGAGGCGATTAGAGCTGGATTGTTAAATAGAAACCCAGTTCCTTCTTTAGACGTATGTCTTGGTGACTTGTTGCGAGAAGAACAGAGAATGGCTACACAAACTATCATAGGTACATCAAAGGAGATATCTGAAGTTGTCAATATTGCCTATGCTGCTCAAGGGAAGAATCGCGGAAAGGGACAAGTACAGTGCTATAGTTGCAAGGAACTTGGGCATATTGCACGCAATTGTGGAAAGAAATTTTGCAATTATTGTAAGCAAACTGGACACATTATCAAGGACTGTCCTACACGCCCTGAGAATCGAAGAGTCCAAGCCTTTCAAGGTGCTGTCCAAGACTCTAACACTATTGGTTCTACATCCACAGCCACAACACTTACTCCAGAAATGGTTCAACAAATGATTCTTTCAGCATTTTCTACTCTTGGACTTCAAGGTCAAGGTAAAATTGTTTCTACTCCTTGGTTAGTTGATTCTGGAGCATCAAATCATATGACTGGTTCATCTGCATCACTACATAATCTACGGCAATATACTGGTACACAAAATATTCAGATTGCTAACGGCAGTAATCTTCCAATTACAGCCATTGGTGATATTGGACCTTCTTTTCGTCATGTATTTGTCTCTCCAGGGTTGTCTACTAGTTTGATTTCTGTTGGTCAGATGGTGGATAATAACTGTGATGTACGGTTCTCTCGTGATGGTTGTCTTGTGCAGGACCAGGTGTCGGGGAAGGTGATCGCGAAGGGGCCTAAAGTGGGCAGACTATTTCCTTTGCAATTTTCAGTTCCAAGTAGTTTGTCTTTGGCTTCTATGGTTGTTGACAATAAAGTTGAAGTATGGCATCAACGATTGGGTCATCCAAATAATGTCATTTTATCTCATTTAATAAAGCATGATTTTCTGGGGAGCAAGGATCAGTGTTTTAATCATAAATTGTCTTTTGATTGTTCTACTTGTAGACTAGGGAAAAGTAAAATATTACCTTTTCCTAGTCATGGTGGTCATGCTAATACAAGTTTTGAGATCATTCATAGTGATGTTTGGGGTATTACTCCTGTTGTTTCACATGCACAATATAAATATTTTGTGACATTCATTGATGACTATAGTCGTTTCACATGGGTATATTTTTTGCGTACTAAAGCTGAAGTATTTGCTGTTTTTAAGAAATTTGTAGCTTATGTAGAAACACAATTTTCTACTTGCATTAAAGTTTTACGCTCTGACAATGGCGGGGAATATATGTCACATGCCTTTCAAGCATTTTTGCAACAGAGAGGTATTTTATCTCAACGATCATGTCCTTATACCCCTCAACAGAATGGGGTGGCTGAACGTAAGCATCGCCATTTGTTGGATATGGTACGAACCTTACTCTTGCAGTCTTCGGTTCCATCTAAATTTTGGGTGGAAGCTTTATCCACTGCAGTTTATTTAATCAATCGTCTACCTTCTCAACAATTGAATTTTGATTCTCCTATGACAACAGTTAGACTTGTTCTAGCTATTGCTGCTTCTACAGGCTGGTCATTGCGACAGATGGATGTAAAGAATGCCTTTTTACATGGCGATCTTCAAGAAGATATTTATATGACTCCACCATCAGGGTTATTTTTTACATCTTCTTCTGATGTTTGTAAGCTAAAACGTTCACTCTATGGCTTAAAACAAGCTCCACGGGCTTGGTTTGATAAGTTCCGTTCTACCCTTATTAGCTTCTCATTTGTTCAGAGCCAGTATGACTCCTCTTTGTTTCTTCGCAAGACTGATAAGGGACTGGTTTTACTTCTGGTTTATGTTGATGATATTGTTATCACAGGAAATGACTCTGCATTAATCTCTCAACTTCAAGAGCATCTTCAACGTTCTTTTCATATGAAAGATTTAGGTCCTCTACAATATTTTTTGGGCCTAGAAGTGCACTCTACCTCAGCTGGTATTTTCTTACATCAACATAAATACATCCAGGAATTAATTGCTTTGGCAGGTCTTCAAGATGGTCGGTCTGTTGATACTCCCTTGGAAGTAAATGTTAAATATCGCCGTGATGAGGGTGATTTTCTCTCAGATCCCTCTCTCTATCGGCAATTGGTGGGAAGTCTTAACTATTTAACTATTACTCGGCCTGATATTTCATTTGCTGTTCAACAAGTTAGTCAATTTATGCAGACGCCTAGGCATCTCCATCTAGCTGCTGTTCGTCGCATTATTCGCTATTTACTAGGCACTTCCTCTCGTGGTCTTTTCTTCTCCAAAAATTCTCCTATTCATTTGGCAGCCTATAGCGACGCTGACTGGGCAGGGTGTTCAGATACTAGACGATCAATTACTGGTTGGTGCATGTTTCTTGGAAATTCTCTTATTTCTTGGAAAAGCAAAAAGCAAGATAGGGTGTCTAAATCCTCTACTGAGTCAGAGTATCGTGCTATGTCCTCTGGATGTTCTGAGATCATTTGGCTTCGAGGCCTCTTAGGTGAGCTTGGGTTTCCCCAACTTGCACCTACTCCCCTTCATGCCGATAATACTAGCGCTATTCACATTGCTGCTAATCCTGTATTCCATGAGCGTACAAAACATATTGAAGTTGATTGTCACTCCATCCGTGAGGCATATGATGATCATGTTATTTCTCTTCCTCATATTACCACTGATCTCCAAACTGCTGATATATTTACTAAAGCTCTCTCCCGTCATAGACACAATTTTCTGGTTGACAAATTGATGCTTTTTGATCCACCAGCATCAATTTGAGGGGGGATATCAAGGGCAGTAGTTGGGATCTGGTCTACTAAATGCAAAAGTCAAGAACAGCTGCTTATGGAAGTCAAGGACAGCCTGCTAGCAAAAGTAAAAGTCAAGAACAGCTGCTTATGGAAGTCATGGGCAGCAACTGATTATGAGATCTGATCTGCTAGCAAAAGACAAGAACAGCTGCTTATGGGATCTAGTCTACTAATTGCACTAATCAAGGAGAGCTGATTATGGTCTACTATATTAGATGTATATTAGCATATATGTAATTAATACATTAGAGAGGTAGATATTCTGACGGAGGAGAGAAGGTACAGAGTTTTTCTATTTAAATGGAAAAGATGCACAAAAGAGGCATTCGGTCTTTGATCTAGAAAACTTGTCATGGTATCAGAGCCAGTTATTTGAATTTCTCAGCCTTTCCAAACTTTCTGAGTTGTTATCCTTCTTGGGTTGATTATTTTGATCAATCATTTGGTTTCAAGATATCCTTTTGGGTCAATCATATTGTGGTTGGCAGCTTTTCTTGTAATTCAGATCTTTGTTTTTTTTTTGAAAGAATGTCTATGGAAAACTCTATGGGAAAAATACATACGGAATCTTTGTCCATCAAGTTCACTGGAAAAAATTATGCGGCATGGGAATTTCAATTTAGGATGTTTCTAAAAGGCAAAGAGCTTTGGAGTCATATTGACGGGTCTTCTACAGCACCTAGAGATGGAAAGGAAATTAGTCAATGGGAGGCAAAGGATGCTAGAATTATTTCTTGGATTCTAGCATCTATTGAAGCTCATATGGTGAACAATTTACGCTCCTTTAATACAGCAAAGGAGATGTGGGATCATTTGAAGCGTGTATATCATCAAGATAATACAGCAAGAAGATTTCAGCTTGAATTGGAAATTAGTACATGTAGCCAAGGTAATCTCTCTATTGAGCAGTATTATTCTGGATTTCTTAATTTATGGAGTGAATACTCTGGTATAATCTATTCTAAGGTACCAAGCGAAGCCTTAGCCGGTATTCAAGCGGTTCACGAAGATAGTAAGCGTGACCAGTTTCTAATGAAACTGAGGCCTGAATTTGAGGCGATTAGAGCTGGATTGTTAAATAGAAACCCAGTTCCTTCTTTAGACGTATGTCTTGGTGACTTGTTGCGAGAAGAACAGAGAATGGCTACACAAACTATCATAGGTACATCAAAGGAGATATCTGAAGTTGTCAATATTGCCTATGCTGCTCAAGGGAAGAATCGCGGAAAGGGACAAGTACAGTGCTATAGTTGCAAGGAACTTGGGCATATTGCACGCAATTGTGGAAAGAAATTTTGCAATTATTGTAAGCAAACTGGACACATTATCAAGGACTGTCCTACACGCCCTGAGAATCGA